GGAGAAGCATCTGCGACAGCAGTCAGAGCTAAATTCTTTTTTTTTTTTAATTTTTTAAAGATTATTTTTTATGTATTTGACAGAGAAAGAGAGAGAGAGGTCGCAAGTAGGCAGAGAGGCAGACAGAGAGAGGGGGGGAAGCAGGCTCCCCGCTGAGCAGAGAGCCCGATGCGGGGCTCGATCCCAGGACCCTGGGATCATGACCTGAGCCGAAGGCAGAAGCTTTAACCCACTGAGCCACCCAGGCGCCCCCAGAGCTAAATTCTTAAACAGCACGGGGACGAACAGCAGTGCGACTGCAGCTGGCGGGGGGCCACAGTACACACAGTCACACCCACACACACAGCCACACCCACAGACACACACCATCACAGACACACACCATCACACCCACACACACAGTCACACTCCACAGCCACACACCATCACAGTCACACCCCCACACAAAGTCACACCCCATAGTCACACACCATCACACCCACACAAAACCACACAGTCATACCCACAGTCACAGACCATCACACCCACACACACAGTCACACTCCACAGCCACACACCATCACAGTCACACCCCCACACAAAGTCACACCCCATAGTCACACACCATCACACCCACACAAAACCACACAGTCGTACCCATAGTCACACACCATCACACACACACAAAACCATAGTCATACCCACAGTCACAGACCATCAAGCCAACATACACACAGTCACACCCACGCACACTCACACTCCACAGTCACACCTATATGCACACAATCACACCCACACCCATAAAGTCACACCCACATGCACACAATGCAGATGTGAAATTAGCGTGAAAAGATATCCCACTTCACACAAAATTTGACAAATCTAATTCAAGAAATACCCAGATAGAATATCTTCCCGTCAGAGTGGAAAAAACACACATTTTTCAGGTATAATAGATCCCCCCATACACTGTAAGTTAGAAAGCTGCTGGAGGTGGTAGACCGCGGTCCCCAGTGTCTCATACATACGCCCATCCCCGGACACCCTCCCCACTGCCACGCGACCCCCAGCTCCCCAGAAGGAGAGCTCCCTCCCATTCGTTGGCCAAAGGCATGAGAGCCAGTGTGACCGACATGCCCAGATGTATCAGGTGTATCAGGGTGTACGACACACCCCGTGTGTGTCCCTCACATGCTGGGGTGAGCCAGCATGTCCCAGACGAGGGCCGGCCCTCCAGCCTGAGTCCCGGAGCACAGACGCCGCATAGGCGCAGACGCAGCAGGACTACCCCGGACGCATTTACCAGGACGTAACATCAGCGAGAAATAAACTTCCACGGTTCGTCAGCACTGAGTGCAGGGGTTTTGTGCTTGAAACCGGCAGCTCATCTGGCGAAAGCTGACCGTCAGACCTTTCAACACAGTATCGCCTCACGGGGACTCACCCTCCCGGCAGACAGTTTTCGCGACGGGTGCGAGGAGCATGAGGGTTTCCCGCAACACCGTTTACAGTAACAAAAAACAGAAGGTAACAGCCTACATTTCCATCAGTAGGGAAGGCACCGAAGAAATGACCATTTGGCCATACAGGGGCACACTACACATCTGTTAGAAATGGTTTCCAGGGGCGCCTGGGTGGCTCAGTGGGTTAAAGCCTCTGCCTTCGGCTCAGGTCAGGATCCCAGGGTCCTGGGATCGAGTCCCGCATCGGGCTCTCTGCTCAGCAGGGAGCCTGCTTCCCCCTCTCTCTCTGCCTGTCTCTCTGCCTACTTGTGACCTCTGTCTGTCAGATAAATAAAATCATTTTAAAAAGAAAAGAAAAGAAATGGTTTCGCAGCTTTTAAAAATTCTTTGCGTAACTGTACGTTACAGCACGACCGTTCTGCACGTGCGTTTTCAGGTAGCAGAGTGTGTTTTCCATTTTGTCCATGTTGGTAGGTATGTAATTGCTCACTCGTGTGCCCTCATCTTGTCTGTGTGAATACCCACTTGTAAGCCCCCCCACCCCGCTCACGGGAGCCGGGCCACGGTTGCCACCCAGAACGGTCTAGGGCGAGCCTCCCTGTGTGCGTGTGCAGGGACGTGTGCGAGACGGTCCAGCCCTCCAGCTGCCCGGCCGTGCTCAGGTCCCAGAGCTGTGCTGACTCGTGCTGCAAACGCGAGCTCACACCCGTGTGGCCTTGCCCTCCGGCTCTGTGTTCCACTCTGTGGGGCCTGAGCTAGGGTTATAAACACCACCATGAGCCGCAAAGGCTTTCTAAGTGTACAGGGGGTGTCAAGTGACCGTTGTCCCTGGGAGGGGAGCTGGCTGCGATCAGGAGAGGGAGGACAGCTGCCCTCAAGTCCATGTTCGATGTTTTATTAAAAAACAAACAAAACTAAGGCAATAGGATGCAAATTTCAGATTTGATCAAGCTGCCAACTTACATGTCAGTGTTTTTATGTTATTTGTGTCTGTTTAGTATATCTGTCCTCGTGTGCGTGTGACCATACAGGAGCGCCTTTGGGCTTTACAGAGGGATTCAGGTCACTTCTGGGAAGTGGGGTCAGCAGGGTGTTGCCCCGTCACGCCTTTCTTTAGTGTTTGCATTCCTTTTAGAAACCTATATCACGTGCATGAATTTGGAACCCTGAAAAGAAATAAAATAAAATAAAATGAAAAAAAAATCGAGGAGGGCTGAGTTTCGGACTGTATGGAGGAGATGAAAGGCTTCATATTCTCAGAACTTGTGTTTTCTCGTCTGTAAAATACAGTTAGAAGCTACTTTGTAGGGCTGCCGTGAGGATGATGAATTATTCATGGTCAACCTCCCGCAGAGTGCCTTTACATAGTAGGAGCTAAATAAATAATAATTGTTTACATTATTAATAAAAGTGTAGGATACGCTCTGTTTGCAAATTTACTCATCCTGAAATATGCAGAGAAAATAGATGTAGTTTCTTTATTTCTCAATAAGTGATCTGTTCTTCCACATGAGCTCCCCACGGGGAAGGATGGATCTTTGAGCCAGCAAACTTAGTTTGATTCAATAATTTAAATGCGCAGCCAGCGTCTCAGTCCCTTGCCCTAAGTGCTGTCTCTTCAGATTTAAACACCTAGACTCTCAGATCCGTGCTGCCCGCCCCCTGGGGAGAGACAGCGTCAGATTTAGCAAATAAAAATGCAGGCCATTAAATTACATTTAATTTCAGGTAAACAACTTTTTTTTTCTTTTTGGTGGTGAGTCCCAAATACTGCGTGGGACATATTCATACTAAAACAAAACAAAACACTCTATTGTTTATCTGAAATTCACATGTAACCAGATACGCTGCATTTTCTTTGGGCAATCCTATGTAGTGGGTGAATGGGGGAGGGGGGCACGCGGTGGCGGGGGAGATAAGGCCCCGGGCCCCCCGGACTTCGGATGTGCACTGGGCAGGGTCTGGGTCCAGTCCCTGGGCTGTGGACAGGCTCTGAGGTCCACGGCTGGTGAGCCCCACGGCTGGTGAGACCCACAGTCTGTCTCTCACCTTAGCCGGGGCCTGGCCGGACCAGCCCCATCCGATGGCTCCTCCGTAGCTCGTGCTCTTTGGGCCCCGGAATGGGACCTCCACTCGGTAGCCACTGCAGTGGGGTCGCTAAGCCCTCAGAATAGTAGGATCCGTGGCGGGTCCCTGGCTCTCACTGGAGCCCCTAGTCATGCGGCCCTGGGGAAGCAGGCACGAAGTTACAATGAGCCTAGGAAAGGTCAACACCAGTCTGTCCTCTCCCCAGACAGTACGTGTCCTCCAGCTCAGACGTGGCCATGAGCTCAGAGTGTCCCCGAGTCCCCAGCCTGAAGCAGAGAGCCAGCAGCACCCTGGCCACGGTGCTCCCGCCGTGGACCTTCCTCCCTCTGCCTTCCTGCGTCCCTTGTCCTCTCTCTGCCTCCACTGTCCCCAGTCCCACAGGGCCAAGGGGCAGGCCTCCCCTGCTCCTCCTCCTGGAGGCCCCGTGGCCACCGCTCAGCACACACTCCATGGATATGTAATCAACACCAGCTATATTCCGGCCGCCAGCAGGAGCGGCAGTAGGAAAGACAGCGCTTCTCGGTCTTACACCTGGTGCCATTAAAGACAAGGACAGTGAGCAAATACAGAAAATCCCCGTCCTAAGGTCCCAGCTTCACGGAACAGGACAGTGAGCTCTCCAAAGGGGGAGGAAGCGGGGGCGGTTAGGGGCTGGCGGCGTGGTCGAGGAGGCTCCCGTTCGGGCAGGTGGAGAAGGCATCTCAGCAGAGACCGGACTGAAGGAAACAGGCAAGCCTGCCAGGTCCAGGGCAGAGGGAGCGGTGGGCACCCTGCAGGACCTGCCCGGGCCCGGCTGGCTGGAGCAGAGTGAATTCGCAAAGAGGGCAGAGCGGAGGTCAGAACGATCGCCTGCCTCTAGCATACTTTCACGATGGTCCAGAAAATAATTCGGAAAGCCCCTTTTGCTCCCTGGACTCTCTCCTTGCTCAAGAGACTAAGGACGTTTGACCACAGCCCGAAGCCACAAAGGCCCCTTTGCCCGGAGCCTGCCCTTCCCTCACCCCTCCAGGCTCTGGGCTCCCCAAAGGCCTTGGAGTCAGGAAGCCGACGTAAGGCAGGGGGTGGACACACAGCCAGACCTCCACACAAGAACCCTGCTGGCTAGTCAGTGTTTGCGAAGCGTCCCAAGAGGCCAGTGGAGAGGCCGACCTCTCCGGGAGAACCTGTCCAGGACGCCACTGGGGTGTCTGTCCTTCCCTCGCACTCAAGGCCCCACCTGGGATTGGCATCAGCACAGGGACCGTGGAGCGAGGGGGAGTGAACCCCGAGATGCTGTTTGGGTATTTCGGCAGTGTGAATACGGGAGTTCGAATCGGCTCCCTTAGGATACTAAGGGCACAAAGTTAGACAGGCAGGGTCCTGGGCACACGCGTGCACAAGCTGGAAGGGAGGCTGGATGCTCCTGTGTTTCAGATGAACTAACGGTCTTCTTTCTGTTTCTTCTCTGGCTTCTCCTCTCTCCCCACTCAGGTCCTGGAGTCCCCACGGTGACAGTGCACAACACGACCGATAAGAGAAGTAAGTGCCTTTTGCTCTTTTCTGGAATCTTCCTGCGCCAGAGAAAGGAAGCCCAAGTTCTGGGGCAGAATCCAGCCACGTGCTCCTATTTGGAGACACAGATGGCACGGTCCTAGCAGTTCAGAGCGACCCCCACAATGGCCAGTGTTGGTCAGTGTGGTGGGCGTTCAGAGCCATGAAGCCAAAAGATGAGCTGAGGCCCGGAGGCCACTGCGGCCGTGCACGGCCGCGTCTGCAACCCAGGCTCCGCAGCCTGGCCCTCCACGGGGGTCAAGTCTCCACAGGCACTTGGAGGTTCGTCTGCCCTTATGGGTGGGGGACATCTTCACGGGACAAGGGGCCTTCCCTGGGGGGCCTCCCAGCACATTTTTGCTTGAAGGGACCCCAGGCAAGTTGACACGCACACCCTTGTGTTTAGTACTCGTGTAATTCAGGTGCATCCCGTCCCAGGCAGACCCTTGTAGAGCTGGGAATGAAGAGAACACGCCCTCAGCACCTCTTTCCTGGTCTACCTCGACCCTGTCCCCAAGGAACCCCACTGCTTCCTCCCTCCTGACCCCCGACGCCCTCCCACGGCGGTACCACTGGCCCTGGCAGGACCCTGCTCTGCCTCCAGACCTCAGGCTCTGAAGGCAGCAGTCACTCTGCCCTTCCCTTGAATATCAAGGCAGCCGGGTGTCCGTGATTCTGATTCCCGGCCTGGGGGTCAGGCGTCGAGCGCCCCTGGCGTGCGGGGGTAAGGAGGGTGGAAGGCGGAGTCTCCCGTGTTCTATTTAGACGCTGGTGAGAAAGTGGCTGAAGTGTTTCAAAGTACGTAAAACAGATTGATTTAAAGAGAGCATTTAGAGAATAATCCCAAATGATGACCGTAGTCCACAAAACTTATCCAGTAATTGCTGGAGACTCAAAAGAGAACACTGGAAATAGATTTTTAAAATCACTTAAAATGCAAGAGAAGTCCAGAAAAGGGCTGTCAGACGGATACGAGACCCACTCAGGACACTTGCGTGGCCATCAGTGGGGAAGTCACTGCGCCGGACTGTCTCTTGTCCTCTCGGGGGTACGGCGTTCTGGGCACCACAGTGCCCGGCCCCGGGCCTCATCTCCGGCACCGCTGGGGAGCCTCCTGGGAGCCTGTGAGGTTTGGGGTCTGCATCACGTGCCCCATAGGGATGGGATGCGACCCGATTATCAGGGCTACACCCCACCCAGCCACAGGCTGCCCACTCTTGTGGGCACAGGGGCTTGGAGAGTACTGGGGAGGCTGCCCGAGGGCTTGGGCCGGATGCCCACCTCAAGGCAGGCCTCTGCGGGGTCGACAGACACAGCCCGGCCTGACAGCCTTGTTTTAAAAAGTGTTCGTGCTCAAATCTCTTTAGCAATGATTTTTCACTTTGAAACATGGAAATATTTCAAAAAGCCTCAACTGGAACACCTTTTTGTCTGAAGAGAATGTGTCCTACTCACTTAGAGGACTTGTTAAAATGTAAGAATTCTATAGAGTGTGAGTGTGTGTGTGAGTGTGTGTGTGTGTGTGTGTGTGAGTGTGTTTATACAACGGAGTGTCCGCCATCAGAAAGAAAGAAACCTTGCCATCTGCAATGACGTGGATGGAACTGGAGGGTAATGTGCTACGTGAACTACGTCCGTCCGAGAAAGACAACGATCGTGTGCTCTCCCTGACATGTAGACTTGAAGAAACAAGACAGAGGATCCCAGGGGAAGGGAGGGAAAGATAAAATCAGATGAAACCAGAGAGGGACACACCGTGAGAGACTGTGAACTCCAGGGAACAAACTGCGGGCTGCTGGAGGGGAGGGGTGGGGGATGGGGTCCCTGGGGGAGCATTGAGGGGGGCTCGTGACGGAACAAGCACTGGGTGTTACCTGCTACTGAAGAATGACGGAATTCTACCCCGGGAGCAAACACACACACAAACAAAAAGTACATAGAAAATCTCCTGATATTTCATGAAGCTTTTTCCTTCTTAAAAACCTGTGGTCTGATGCATGCCGAACAGGGTGTGTGGTCGGTGTCCTTGCCGGACGCTGCCCCATGCTGCAGAGGGTGTCACTCTGGGGGGAGGCTGGGTATGGGGTGCGTGGGACGCTAGGCCCTGTTTTCGAAATGTCCCGTGAATTTATGATTCTTTCAAAATAAACAGCCTTTTTTCTTTGTTAAATCAATAGTAAAAAACACAAAACTATTTCTAGGTGCTTTTTCCCCCCTTTTAAGGAAACTAGGTGTGGCTGTTCAGAAAGGCGTTCGCTTCAACCCTCTGACTTGCTTCTTTGGAGGACGCTGTTAGGGATCCGTCCACATCGGGGTGACGCGGCGCCTGCGTCTGGGGAGGCCTTGTGCCCGGTAGCCACACGCGGGTCCGGCCGCGATCACACGTCCAGGGCTGCTGGGGGCCAGGAGCGCGAGCCCGGGGAGCGAGGCCCAGTCCCTGCTTGTCCTCGGGTTCCCGTGGGCCTGCACGTGAACGCAGGCCTACGTCTTAGGTGCCTCCACATAATGACACAGGCTGTTTATTCTCTTTATAAAATGGGGCAGTGTGCGTGCGGGTGTCCCGCACCGTGAGAGCGTCTGGGAAGAATTCTCCCTGTGCCCACCAGCGCAGGAAGCAGGGGGCAGCTCTCGGTCCGAGAGGTCTCCCGATTCTGCAGGGAAACCAAGCGACCCCCTTCTTATCACCGGTTGGTGGCTGGCTGTGACAAGCCCTCCGCCCGGTCAGCCCCTGAGCCTGGAGGTTGTAGCTGTCGTCTGTATTCTGGGGGACCCGTGAAAAGAGGTTTTTAGAGAAGCACTTCACTGTTTGGGTTCAGGGGTCACAGTTGCTGGTGACTCCCGGGGTCGGGGGGCATGGAACAGGGAATGGAAGGATTCTGCCCGCGGCCTGCCGTCGGCCCACGTGGGGACATCGGGGCGCCTCCCGTGAAGGTGGCGCCTCCCGTGAAGGTGGCACCGCCATGCTGCCAGCTGAGTGCGGGGAGCCAGACGGTGTCTGGGCCGTGCAGATGTGGCTGTGGGGTCCTCTCCGACCACACGTCCTCACAAGCTTGCGCGCCCGGCCGTGGGCGGACCCCGGCTTTCCCACAGCCTGAGCCTCGCTCCGGGGGGAGCTCATCCCGACCCGCCCGTTGCCGCGTCTCTGGTTCTCACTGCAGCCCAGGGTTTTCCGGAACGCGGACGCAGACCCCCGAGGTGGACATAGAATGACTCCGTGGTTGAGCTGGTGGGGGGGGGTCCGCCCCCCAAGAGCAGAAGAGGCGTGTCCATCCCCGTGGGTGAGGACGTCAGGCCCGTACAATGGCTCCTTTTCACGCGTGAGAATCTCGGGTGTCCCTGGGATCCGGCAGCTGACTCGAGCTGCCCAGCAGTGAGATGGCCCGCGCTGCTCCCTGCGTGTGCCCCGTCTGCGGCAGCTCGCCCTCCCCGCCCCTGCACACGTGTCCTCCTGTCCTTTCCGCCCTCGAGCGGCTTTGGGGCCAGACGACGGGGCAAGGGTGAAGTAGGGGGGTCCCCAGTGACTGCGACAGTGCGGGCAGCCTGGCTTCCTGTGAGCGCCAGGGTCACAGCCTCTGACTCCCCATCTTCCTCTTGCCAGTCCCGGCCCTGCCCGTGCCCCATGCCCACGTCCTGCTGGCTGCACAGAATGCCGGGAAATAACTCTGCTGCCGGCTCCGTGCCCCTCGGGTAAAATCAGGAACCCGTGACTGGTGGTGACATCCACTGGGAGCACCACCCCCGGAATCTGAGTGCACGTCCCCCAGAAACGTGTGCCGTCGCAGCCCCAGAGGCTGCAGGTTCAAGGTCGGGATGTGGGCGGGGTGACGGGGTTCCAAGGCTGGGGGAAGGCGGTCCCCCAGCTCCCAGTGGCGGCTGGCAACCATTCTGGCATTCCTGGGCTGGCACAAGGGTCACCGTTCCTCGTCACATGGCCTCCTCGTGTGCGGCCTTGTGTCCAAATCTCCCCTTCCTACAAGGACACCAGTCGTCATGCTGGATTAGGACCCTCGTGGCCTCAGCCCAACTTGTTTCTGCTGCAAAGACCCTGATTCCGAATACGGCCATCGTCAGAGGTACTGGGGGCGAGGACATCAGCATGTTTGAGGGATACAATCCGACATACGACACAGCAGAACGAGGGTTTGTAATTTGCTCCCGTGAAACCCAGGTCGTGGGATCCTTGTCGCTGTCCCGGGAGGAAGCCCATCACCATCGCCCCCGCTTCTGGCCACGCTTCTGGGCGGGAAGAAAGAAAAGAAGGTTGTGTGGGATTTGTTGCATCGAGGCCCAGCGGAGGTCGGCATCATTTCCAGCACACGGGATTCCCTCACGGGGACCCACTGAGATGCCAGAGAGGCCCCGGAAGGAGGGAGACAGGCCGATGGGTGCTAGCAGCCACTGTCACACGAGGAAGGTCGAGGACACAACAGGCTGCCTTTGCCTGTCCCTGAGAGGGGAGTGACTGAGGCCGTACTTACTGGCCGTTTCTGTACAGATCACTCGGCCTGAGCGAGCCCATCAGATACATCCCTGTGCTGGCCTGTGGAGCTACCCTCCGGAGACCCCAGAGGGCAGACAGGTGTGCCCAGTGCCAGAGGGGTCCCTACGAGGGGGTGGACCCCACCCCACCACGGAGGGTTCTCTGACTGCGGCGGGGAGCACCAGCACCCAGCCTGGGGATGCGGGAAGGGAGGAGGAGAGGTGCCACAGCGCGGACCCAGTGGAGGGGAGCGCAGGGGGAGATGAGGGCTTGGGACCCACCCCTACCTGCACTCGTGAGCCCAGAGTCTGCAAGAGGGCACAGAAGACAGAAATGTCCTAACAGACCTAAGCATATAGGAGAAGCCGTGGAGGGCCGTATTTAGTGCCCGGTGGGAGTGGAGGTGGGAGTTCTGGGTGTTTATCTAACCCGGAGTCAAGGTCTCCAAGACCTGAAGGGAGTCATGAGCCTTCATCTAGGGCTCCGAGAAAATCGGCTGCCATCCTTC